AATAAATTTAGCCTGCTTAGTAAATCAAATCAGTGGATACCCTTATCTACAAGAGATGCGTCATCGCTACGTGAACTTCTTTGACTAGACAGAACTAATGGGGAGAAAATGGACCTTTAGCTGTGGTCAAAAGTTGATGAACCCACAGTAAATTAAAAGTTAAAAAAGTTAAAAAGTTAAAAAGATCTTCTCCCTGGTGTTTGGCTTAGAAACTTCTATTTGGGGTGGAACTACAGGGTGAGACGAGGTGACTTATAAAATTGTGTGCTTCTGTCTTAAAGCCCAGAAGATGTAACTTATTTGGTCTGAGAGGAGGAATGTGGAGGAGGTAATGTACTTCATTTGTCTTTGGTTGCAGAACATGCAGTTTTGGAAAGTCAATTTTAATGTCAAGGAGAAAGAGAATATTTTTGGTCTGTATAAAGATTTTAGGTCTGGTTACTACACTGGAATTTCTTACTACTTTCTTTGTTGTAGAGGCTGTGGATGGAGGAAAATGCAGGCCATGATGGCAACTTTACCATGCATGGGAATTTATTCTCCTGCTCGAGAAAGGCTCAGGACCCAGGAATGGAAATTATGTTTAGGATCTTTGTCATTTCAGAAGCAGCAGAAAAATATGTAGCACACATATAAGTGTATAAGCCTACCCCTCTGATGATGGTATCAATTAGTTGGACACAAAGGAGAGTGGGTTTGCAAAGACCAGATGGTCCCCTTTCTAACGCTCGCTTTATTTTTAGAAGTAACATCTACCTATGTAGGGAATTTTGGAAAAGGTTTTTTCCTCCAAACATCAAAATAAATATCTGAGTAACTTAACAGAAAAAAAATTTGGCTGTATACAGTCTGTGCCTGCTTGTCCCTATTGAATGGATAGTCCTCATGCTTTGGGATGACTGTTTGTTTTGGGGTGATTTTACAGAGATAGGGAATGAGAGACAGAGAGAAGCACCAACTGCAGTGACACACTCTGCTGTCAGGAACAGACTTAAGTTAATTGGATGTCCTTAAAAGTCTTCCTTCCACAGGAGAAAAACTTTCTGACACGAGGAGTCCAAACACAATGACTCAGAGAGTTAGAGTTCCTTGTGTCTGCAAAATATTAATTTTCTTAATAGCCCAAGTACTTCATATCTGCAATAAACTGCTCGTCCTCTTCAGGGTACGGGCAAGAGTTTTTAGCACTTAGTGCTAAACCAATTATGTGTTTCTTTTCTACATCATTTCTGATCAAAAGGCCTGCTGATCTGATCCTGTCAAGTAGGAGAGGCTCACCCACTTTGACAAGGATGTTAAAAGCTTTAACAGTGCAGTAGGGGAAAAGGAAGAAGAAAGAAGGTTAAGCCCATTTTCAGGAGCTTCATTTCAAATGCATTTTTGTGCAAGAAATGGTGAGGCTGTTAGAAACTAATAAATTATTGCATAAGTGGAATTACTGAGAAAATGTTGGTTGTTTTGGTGTTGCTGTATATCAGTGGCAGCCAAGCTTCCTGCCCATCCTGCTAAGCACTGAAATCTTCTTTCTCAAGGCAGACAGGCACACAGGTGCAGGCACAGGAGCCAAGAACACACTGGAGCTTTCATGAGCAGAGGAAAGAGTCCTGGCAGATGTTGGAAGATCCCATGGCTGGCAGTGCCAGTGGGGTGGCACAGAGGGGAGGCCAGGCAGGATTTGGTCCTGCTTGCCAGGTCTGGTTGGCAGCACCATGGGTACGAGCTACAGCCCTTTCCACCAGTGGGGCTCTTGGTTCGAGCTCTCAGCTGCAGCTCTCTGGGAAGGCCAGGCCTGTTGTAATTCATTCCTGAAGTCAAATCTTCTTGTGTGGTACAGAAGTGATGAGGGATGGGGACTGTACATGAAATGTGCCCATCCATTTCTGTAAAAGCTGTGTTTAATAAGCAAAGCTTCTTTTTAAAAATGGTTGCCCTTACCCTTTTTTTTTTTTTAAGGAATGGTAAATGATCTGTTTTGTTTTTATGTTTCACCCATACTTCATGCTGCTTCACTCCTTGGCAATAATGCTTAGAGAGAGACAGAAAAATGGATGAGAAAGAGAAGACAGAAAGTAATTCAAGGGTTTATGCCCAGGTTTATGGCAGCTCTAGCAATACTCGATGTTCTTGTTAGTTGTAATAGACAGCTGTGAAGTTAGAGTTAAAAGATGGCTGTTATATTGTAGTGTCTTCCAACCCTGAAATTGCAGGGCATACCTCTACTTCTAAATAGCTGAGCCAATGGAATTTCGACTTCCCCCCTCAGAGAATAATTTGCTGTCCAATAAAATTCATGGTTTGAGTAGTCTCCTAATGTTCAGTCTGAAATTTCTTTTCCTGCTTTCCTCCTGCTACGCCTGCGTCTGCTTTATGTATCACCTTAATCCATCCTTGTCTCTTCTTTTTATCCTTCAGACATTTGCTTTGTCAGTCAGAGACTCAGCAAGGACTACAAATGCTGCACTGGTATCTGTCCGTGAGATGCAAGAAGCAGCTGTAAGGTCTGGGAAGATGCTGCTCTTCCAAGTGCTTCTCTTTGTGGTACTTTGGCATCATTTTTGTTTGACTATGTCTTTCTTTGCTCCTGTCCAAGTGTTTTGGAACAAACCAGAAAAGTATATATATTTTTTCTCCAAAGTCACCCAACGTTTTCCTTACAACCTTACAAATGTAAAACCTATTCGTTTGAAAAACATTCAAGTTTGTACCTGCAAGCCTCTGATTTTGCAGTGAGCTGATCTTTATTGTGTTTCCCCATTAGCTGCTCATGTCTGCTCACATTCTGGGGCTTTGCTGCAGCCCAAATCAAGTTCCTCATTAGCTCCCTGTTGCTTAATTGCCTCTCAGAGCTAAGACAGCAGGAAACACATCTTCCATACGCTCAGAAATAGTTTCTGTTACTCTCAAAGCGGTGTCAGATTGGCAATCTGATTTGCTGACAGTTTAAGTGTGGGTTTCCATCATGCTGGGCACTTTTGTCACATTGGCCACAGAAGAAGGATATTTCGAATAACCTGTCAAGTGTTTTGGTTTGGTAATCTGTAAAGGGATCAGCATCATCCCAAGCAGAAGAATTGCATGTGAATGCTTTACTTAAACACGGAGGCAAATCTCTTCGCAGAGAAATAAAAACATGTTTGCAGAATATATTATATGTGACATATTCCAGTGACAGGATGCAAATCGGATTGTATCTTCATAATATCCAAGTGAAATTCCACTGTCTGTTAAAGAAAGCTCTGGCATCTGGTAATTTCTTAATGACTTACTTACTACAAAATTATCACAAAGGAGACAATTCTGAGTGAAGTATGAAAGAGGCGTTGGTGTCTGGAGACAAACAACATAACACTGCCGTGGCTCCTACTTTTCTGGATGATATAGAAAATTCAGAGAAAATACACCTAGAATTATTACATTATGCTTAAGATACTTATTCTTGTGCCTAGACTTTAGGCTTGCTAGGTGAGGCTGTGGGGTAGAATTTATTACTGCTCTTGCCAATCTATTCTCATTGCATTCTTTTGTTCACAAGGTGTTACATTCACAAGAAGCTTTCATTCTTTGCTTTAACATTTTGAATGTCTGTGATATTTCAAAGTATAGAAATCACTTGAGTACAAGAGGAAAAATGCTCATTTTCACAGCATAGATAAAGTCAGTGGGAGGCATCAGGCTGAGGGGGATGGGCTTAGGCAACTGCTGGGATGGGACACATGAGTGCTGTCTTGGAGCTTCTGTTGGAGTGAGGTCTGAAGTAATCCACAGGTGGAGGCAGAAAAGCAAAGGCAGTGATTTCACTGTGCTTTTGTCACCTGGAGTATCTGCTGAGCCTTCTGTTGTCAGTGCTACTTCAGAGCAGCATACGGCCCACGTGTCCCTTGTCAGCAGGGGGCTGTTGGTGAGGCACAAAGGGCAGTGGCTCCTGCTGCTGCTTTCAGATCTATCAAAGCAGCTTTAGATATTTTGGAGTGGAGCTGAAAGGATAATCCATGATTAATAATACATCAGATAACTATTTTTGTTTTTTGGTCTTTGCTTATGATTCTTCTGAGGGTACTCTTACAATTGTCTCACTTATTTTGTTTGAAAATGTTGTGAGTTGCTCTCAGCATGAGGGTTGCCTCTACTAAAATTATTAGATAAGTATCTCACTTTCTCCTTTCCCTCTGAATTGAAGGAGGCTAGGTCAATAAATGGAATAAAACTCTTAAGAAGCACTGAGATTTGTCGGCTCATCCAGTAAGTTTGTGCTTAGAAGCTGTTCCAAAAGCTGCCTGGAGAATTTGCAGATCCGAGGAAAGTGAAAGCTGGCTGCTAGCCATGCAGGACAGGGCAGTGGGAAGCATACCCGGGAGGATGTGCTGAGAGAACTCTTTCTCTGAGCCCTGTAGCTGGTGGGAAAATGCATGGGATTTGCTGTCAAAACGTGATGGGCCTGCTGGTGTCCTGGCTGTAATCACAAACAGTGTGGTTATGTAGGTTAGTCAGAATCAGAATTTGTATTTTCCCCAGCAGTTTGGTGAAGTGGATATGTGTGTTTTTTCTTTTCTTCCTCCCAAAGCGTGGTAAGGGTCAAGTTTTCTTTGAGTTTCAGTGAGATGGTGGCACCTACGTGAACATCTTTCTTTGTGAATATATCTAATTGACTTAATGTTAGACAAAACAATAGAATGAAAAGTACCTCAGATCTGTAGGATCCCCTAAAAGTTTTCTAATCTTTATATACAGGCTGAGGGAGCTGGACTCGTTCAGCCTGGAAAAACAAAGGCTGCGGGGTGATCTCATTGCAGCCTTTCAATACCTAAGGTGAGCCTACAAACAGGAGGGAATCAACTCTTTGAAAGGGTAGATAACAGCAGGACAAGGGGAAATGGTTTTAAGTTGAAGGAGGGAAGATTTAGGTTGAATACGGGGAGAAGTTCTTCACTAATGAGAGTGGTGGGGTGCTGAAACAGCTGCCCAGAGAGGCTGTGGATGCCCCGTCCATGGAGGTGTTGAAGGCCAGGTTGGATGGGGCCCTGGGCAGCCTGGTCTGGTATTAAATGTGGAGGTTGGTGGCCCTGCACGTGGCAGGGGGTTGGAGATTCATAATCCTTGAGGTCCCTTCCAACCCTGGCCATTCTGTGATATCAGTTCCCACTCATATCGGTAATACATGTTTTTCTACCATCTACACACTGCCTAAATATTATGTACTACGCGTTGACCTGAACTATTTGTATGGAAAAGAAGGCTGTTTTGGGCAGGCTTCTGCACTATGGACATTACTGCAGTGGAAGGGAAATGCAGGGAACACACAGCAGTAAGCTGAAAGATGTTGAATAGATGCTTTGAAGGAAGACACTTCTAAACAGGGACAAATAGGAACACTTTGCCTCCCTGAGGAGGTTTTAGGATTTCGGTGTGTGTAAGCTCCTAACAGTGAACTTAAAAAGACACTTTCCATTTCCTTGATTGCAGCTGTATTTAAAGAAGATAGTACTTGAGAATGAAGAGCAGGAGGCAGTGACCTTGCCTTACCCACAACACAGGTGGAAGCCATCTCCTCTTGCTGTGGTGTAAGTCTGCTCTTGCTGTGAGGCTCCTTTTGATTTCAAGGCAAAAGGCTGCAGCCCCCATGCAGGAGACCATTGTCCTGCATCTCTTACCATCTGTATGTTAACTAGAGAAAAGGCATCTGATTAATGTCCCTACTGCTGTCGTAAATCAATCTGCATGTGCTTAAACAAGTTACATCAGCCTAATGGGAAAAGATGTGCTGGGACAATTAAAAGAATTAACCCAGAGCAGGGAGATCGATACCATGGGATAATCTGTTGCTGGAGTGTAATGACCAGGTGCTGTGGCAGTGCTGGCAGCCAATTTCTCTCATGAGGAACCTAATATGTTTCCTGAGGATCTGGCTCTGGTGCTCCTGGGCCCTGAAATGCTTGAAGGCTGATAAGGTTTAGTTATTTTTGTTATTAATCTTTGTTGCTCTGAGATGGAAAACAGTTTTGTGTGAATGAGTTTGTGAGTGTGTAAAGAAGTCAGCTTGTACCTTTCCAGCCAGTGGAATTGGAGCATAAGCAAAGGGATGCAATTGATTGTAGTGATTTAGAACTGTTTAGGCAAGCTTTTCTTCTTATTCAGTGATTCAAGAAGGTTGTCTTGCAATGTTTTTCTAGTGCTTTAGTGTGTTGCCTAAATCAAGCAGTACAAATGGTTACCAATGGAAATCAGAAACTCACTTTTAGATTTATATTGCAGTGGTTGCCATGGGAAATGTAATTCTTCTTTATGAAAAGAGAATAAGTTTGTTTTCTTTTGTTACTTTTCTCTCGACATGTGAAAAGTTGAAGTGATGATGTGTTTATTGGGCTTATATCCTTAGAGTGTGCAGTGCAAGCTCTTACTGAAGTTCAAGGGAATTGCACAGGAGTCCTTAAAAAATGGATTCCTGTCTTCCCCAGCCAATACTTATTACTTGAAACTGGTTCAGCCAAGCCTGTGCAAGTTAATGGAATCCTCCAGTCCTTTTCCCCTGAGTTTGCTTGAGGTTTCTCTGGAAGATAAATCCTGTGTTTCACTGGCAAACTTCAGAGAGACTACTCATAGACTGGAAAGTGCTGTCAGAGTAACGCAGCTGGTGATGACAGAAACCTTTCTCCTTTCCTGTTGATTTGATGTAAAGGAAATTGAACTATATACTGAAATGGGTGAGTCATCAGATCCTCTGTTGTGTGGGTATGTTTCAAAGAAAGGCAAGAAAGCCAAGAGATCAATGGATGATGCAAAGGGGCTCCCACAACACTGTGGTTGTGGCTTTTGCTGCAGCTCTGTTATCTTCCTCAGACAGAAGCTCGTATTTTTAAGTCACCTTTGTTCCAGCCTACCCCAAAGCAGGAACAGCTGCATGCTATCAGAGCAGTGAGGAGTTATGCAGGGACCGCTCCTGTGAGGGTGAGAGGTGTCTGTGGGAACTCCACTATGTATGTCAGAATGTGTGGTATTGGTATTATGAAGCCACCAAAACCTGAAGAGTGAGGTTAAAATGCTATCAGTGTTGCCAAGAAACTAAGTGATCAGCTGGCAGACCCTTCTTTGCTAAGTGCTTCTCTTGGGTCAATGCAAGTCAGCTCAGAGCTGACACATAACAGGGAGCCAGGCAATGAATCATCTAAGGGTGCATCGGCTGTGCCTCACCCCAATAATGAAGCTGGCTTAAAGCTTCCTGTAGAAAGTAACTTGAGGTGGAATCCACTTGGTGCACAAGTGCTTTGGGCACTGGCTAGTGTTAGTGCTCAAGTTTGCCCTTCTGTAATTACTTAACTTTACCTGATGGATGGCAGGGAAACCGTCTGTCCTGCACTCTCTCTTATACATATGAGTGAATTTGTCTGTCTACTGTACATAAGGACATTTTTGAAAGATATGCTGAAGAGGATCTGGAGCAAAGGAAGGTTTTTGCTGTCCCAGGGTATTGCTACTATGGAAATGCTACTGTGAGATAACAAAATGAATGGTAACCCCACTTTACCTGCTTTGCGTTTGTTTTGGAGTCTCCTGGCAGTGAAGTAACATGCAAGATGAGGTTTTGCGGCTGATTCTCAGAGTGCCAGTTACATTTAAAGAATTAAATTCTGCTAATGAGGATTGAAATGTGGGTGTATTTTGCTGGCTGGAAAGCTGTTTAAGTATTGCGTGCTGTTGTGTAATGGATCTCAACTGGAAAACCCTACCAGGACAGGCCAGAGATTAAGGGTTAGTGCAAACCTGGCTCTGACCCTCCTCTAGCAGGGATCCAGATGCCTCTGTGAGCACAATGCCTTCAGCAAAAATCTATATTCATTGAACTTCTGACCCCAGTCTCTGAAGTAATGCCAAGTATGTTTAGCACACATACAAATGATGTGGAAATCATTATTGGCTTGCTCGTGACCTGCTGAAATATGGTTCCCCTCTGGGAGCTCCGTTTGCATTTTCTTCAGTTGCTTTGGGTACTCAATCTTTCACTAGACTCACGTGCTACACATTGAGCATTGCTGTGCTTTTGTTCGGGGCTACCTGCTGTTGCCTGCTCACTCCTTCCTTCAATTTTCTCAGGCAGCAGTAGTAGGGCTCCTGTATTCTCCCCCACCCTATGTTTATACTATGAGTCCAGAATGGCTCTTGACCCAACCTGCTTGTGCCATGCTGCCATGTTTGTTCTGCCTTCTCTTGGTGCTTTCACCACCCAGGTGAAGGACATACAGACTTGCTGCAGGCTGTCAGGCAGCTGCACAGATACAGATGGCTTGCAACTCTAATGGCAAGGCTTCTTCCAAAATGAAGTTTCATTTCTCTTCTTTTCCTCTGCATGCACACATGGGCACTGGTAAACTTTTCTCTGAATATCTATCGTGAGAGACATTCCTTCTCTTCAGCACAACAACGAACTCCAAGAGCTCACAAATCTCTCTGAATTACTTGAATGAGAGACAGGGAAATATACATTTTTCTTTCTTTCTCAAGCAAAACTACAAATGAGCTTTATCCTTATGACAAGACTTATTGATAGTCTTTCTATTTACTCTTTAAATAAAGAAAGATGTTAATGCCTGGGCTCTTGCTTGCTGGAGTATCCCTGTGTGTTTACATGGGAATGATCAGAACTGAGTCAAGTCTTACCTTGCATCAGTCTTGAAATATTCTGCATGTTGATACTTCAGCTTTGCAACTTACTGCTTACTTCTTTTTTTCCTTCTATTGTACTTATTAATAAAATTAGTCTGCTTGGGAATCCTACAATTGCACTGAGCTCAGGTGACTAGGATGCATGTCTTTGATGCTGCTTTGCATCCTGCCATTCACTTTGTGCACAATATAGGGGCAAATGTTGCTAAGTGATTCCTAGCTTTTCTTTAACTTTTCCTCTTTTTATGTCACGGGAGAGCTCTTTGTGTGTGCCAGACAGCTGGAGTGGTGCGTGCCTCATGGCATCCCACTGCTCAGGAGTGCATGTCGTTCTTGGGACTGATGCAAGCAGGGCAGATCTGGAGCAGGGCAGGAGGGAATCAAGCCTCCTGCTCAACTTGACCACGTGGAGGAAGCTTTCAAGGCTGCAAGGTTTTCTTTTGTGTCGGCGTGCAGGTGTGCGTGCCTGTGTTTTCTTTCTCTTGAAACTTCAGCCATCTGGGAGATGATTTCAACATAAGCTTGTGTACCTGTGATGCTGTCCAGCATACTCAGGGCTCTGGATTGTGGACTGGAGGTAGCTGAGATGACTTCTCTCAAAAAATTGGAGAACCTTCTGCCAAGTTAATGAATATGAATGCATCCATAAAGTAATATGAAACAGTGTGGGAGCGGCAAGGCAGCAGTCTGGTCCTTGGATTTGCTGGAAACCCACGGAGGATTCAGGCAAGTCCTTGATTGCTCTAGTTTTGCCTTTTCATTGGAGATAATGTAAGTGGTGATGATCATGGCAACCTATTCCTCTGAAGCTGCCCTGAGTTTTTGGGATATTGCTCTGCTGCTGATGTAAGACAGAACTACGTGTGTTATCCAGACTAATGGTAAAACCTGTGCCGTGGGGTTTGGTGGGAGGGGGAAAAAAAAAAAAAAAAAAGATTCAGCCCCTGCTTCTGCCCCGGGTGGAGCTTTGCAGTTGTTGTCCAGCACTTCGATTCAGGCTTTTGGGCCAGTGGATGTTCCAGGGGAGGTGCAGAGCCTGGCAAATGGGGGATTACCCATTGACTGCAAACTTACAGTGCCTGTCTTTCTCTTCACACCTCATCTGCCTAAATTTGTGTGTGTGTGCAAAGTGTTCTCAGGCTGCAGCTGGGAGCCAAAGTCTACTGGGACTGAATGTGGGGAGCTGCAGCTTGTAGTCTTCTGGAAAAGCCAGGGCAGATGTGTTGGATGTCAGTGGTACATGGGAAACAGACAGGAGGGAAGAATGAAGCATTTTGCTGCCGATGAGTGAAGTGTTAGCTGTACTGCTGTAATTGCAGGGAGCTGAGTGCAGTGGCAGCTTACCGGCTGGATCTGCAGCTGCACAAAGCACCCAGGACTCTTCCCTGTCAGATT